AGCTGAGATTGTGCCACTGCACTCCAGCCTGGGTGACAGAGTGAGAATCTGTCCCAAAATCATCATAATAATAATCTCTTTCTCTCTCCCTCTCTCCAGGCTAAAGGGTTTAAATGACCTGTCTAAGGTCTTACTACCAGGCAGAATGGGATGGAATATTTCATGCCCTCTGACTTACACTCCATTAATGCTCTGCTGCTTCTTATGCTAGAGCAGTCACACAGAGAATCTTAGAAGCACAGATAGTGCTGGGACTACAGGCATGAGCTACTGCGGCCAGCCGAAAGAGATAATTAAGTCCCACCTGCCTTTAGAATTGTGTAAATCTATGATAATAAAACCACGTTAGTGTCAGAAATGTAATAAACCCCAAGTTCCATAAGTCCCCTTAACAGCTAGAGTTTAAAAAAAAATTCTATCAGTCTATACTAAAGATGCTATCAGTCCATAGAAAATAAAGGAAAAGGTTTATATTCTAGGAATCAATCTCTCTGACCTTCACTTTCACCTTGGTTCCCAACTAGCAGAATTCAAGCACCAGGTAAATTTCTTTATTCTTCTTATTGGTCCACTGGGACCTCCCACAATGACAAAATTACGTTGGGCTGTCAGGCTGTGTGGCCTTCCATGAACAGGCTGGCTTTTTACAGCATCAGCGTATTGGGGATCTTTTCTCTGCCTACCCTAACTAAACAGGTGAGCATTACCCTTGCCTGGGTAGATACTCTTATGTCTTAGCTGTTCTGTATCTCCTTTTCTTTCTTTTTTTTTCTTACTTTTTTTTATCTCTTTATTCCTCTCATACACTAGGAGGTCACTGTTGGTATTGGGGACAAAAAATTACTAATGGAAAGGTTGTTTTCCAATACCCTGTCTCCCCAGTTCCAGAGCAAGCCCTATGGTAACTCCTACATTAATACAAACTGATGAGGCAGAAGAACTGCTTCAGTCTAGGAGTTCGAGACCAGCCTGGACAACATAGCAAGACCCTCATCTCTTATAAAGAAAAAAAAAAAAGGCCAGATGCGGTGGCTCACGCCTATAATCCCAGCACTTTGGGAGGCTGAGGTGAGTGGATCACCTGAGGTCAGGAGTTCAAGACCAGCCTGGCCAACATGGTGAAACCCCATCTCTACTAAAAATACAAAAAACTAGCCGGAAGTGGTGGCGTGCACTTGTAATCCCAGCTACTTGGGAGTCTGAAGCAGAAGAATCGCTTGAACCTGGGAGGCGGAGGTTGCAGTGAGTGAGCCAAGATTGCGCCACTGCACTCCAGCTTGGGCAACAAGAGCAAAACTCCTTCTCAAAAAAAAAAAAAAAAAAAAGAAAAAGAAAGAAAAACACCAGGACGCATATTTGTGATCTAAGGAAGCAGTACATGGCAGTAGACAACTGTGCCAGTGGTAGGAGTCCTAGGCTATAGCATGGCCAGGGGCTGTAATGAGGGAAACACTTGCCATTGGAAGGGGCTGAAACCAGGACTGGGAAAGGATCCAAGAGCATTAGCTATGTCTGTAACATTTGATATTCAATGTTGACAGAAAGTAGAATGTATGTTGGCCTTTGGGAATGGACGCTCTCTGGGAATCAGAAAGTAAACAGTGGCAGCTCTGGGAAGGGATCTGGAAAACTGGAGGAAAGCCGGAATCCTGTTGTCAGGAGCTCTCTAGGTTCCAGCTTCTTTGGACTCCCGAGTGCCTGTTTGTGAGAGAGACAGCTGACCAAAGGGATCAAAAACAGCATAGGAAGGGAAAAAGAAAGATCCTGTTTAAATTCTGACGGGTGTTTGTAAAGTACTGCATGATCTCAGTGAAGATATAATTAAGAACAGACCCTCAGCAGTCAATATGGCTGTAAAAGTGACCAAATAAAGAAATCTAGCTGGCAAGAAGGAGACAGAGCCCAAACGGCTATGATTAAGGGCTACCGTTAGAAGGCAGAGACTGAGCCACATGAAAGCCATTAGATATTGCCACCTTACCCGTGGGGTTTGTTTTTTTTTTTTGTGATTAAGAAGTGAGCAAATGAAATGGACGGTGGTTGCAGTTACACATACAGTAACCTCTCCAGATACGACAAAACATTGCACTCCATAGGCACCCATATTCTGGCAAGTATCTACAGACACATGGACTCTGTTTTAATCTGAGAAAACTTATCTATTGAACACCTAATTATAAGTATGAGCACTGCACATATATTATTTAATCTCAGTAACTCTATGGGCTAGGTGTTATCAACTCTTATTTTCAAAGAAGAAACAGACTCAGGGAGGCTGAGTAAACTATGGAGGGCTACTTAGCTAGTAAATGGTGGAACTAGTGTTTGAACTCGAAGCCTGTGAGATAGGAAACCAAATTCTAGAAGTAAAGAAAATAGGTAGGGAAGCTTCCTTAGGTTGTAAAGAAAATAAGACATAAACTAGGTATAGATATCTATGTAAAAATCTCTTTCTCTTTTTTCATCCTAAAGAGTCTAGGCTCCGGCCGGGCGCGGTGGCTCAAGCCTGTAATCCCAGCACTTTGGGAGGCCGAGGCGGGTGGATCACGAGGTCAGGAGATCGAGACTATCCTGGCTAACATGGTGAAACCCCGTCTCTACTAAAAATACAAAAAACTAGCCGGGCGTGGTGGCGGGCGCCTGTAGTCTCAGCTACTTGGGAGGCTGAGGCGGGAGAATGGCGTGAACCCGGGAGGCGGAGCTTGCAGTGAGCCGAGATCACGCCACTGCACTCCAGCCTGGGAGACACAGCGAGACTCCGCCTCAAAAAAAAAAAAAAAAAAAAAAGAGTCTAGGCTCCAAGTCACTAACTTATAATACAGCACTGGCAAAGGATAACAGCTTCTTAGAATTGGTGAGAAATATGCTGTGGTCTCTGAGGAAGGTTCAGAAATAGGAGGCCGCATGAGGCTGAAAGCCCCTAATGGAAAAGATCTTTGCTCCATCTCACACTACTCAACCATGAACTGCCAGGCGTACAGGGCCAAATAAGTATCTGCTACGGAGATGCTAAAACCAGGCAAAAGTGAAAAAGCAAGTTTCCTTTTGTTCTTTCTACATTTTTATGAGACAAAATTTCATCACACCATGGCACACTGGGCAACTGGGCTGGGCCAGGAAAGCCTGAAGCTGGATTTTTCATTATCTTTGAACTTTTTTTTATTTTTTAAGAAGAGATTAAGACCGGGCACAGTGGCTCATACCTGTAATCCCAGCACTTTGGGAGGCCGAGGCGGGCGGATCACCTGAGGTCAGGAGTTTGAGACCAGCCTGCCCAAGATGGTGAAACTCCATCTCTACTAAAAAGACAAAATTAGCCAGGTGTGGTGGCACATGCCTATAATCCCAGCTACTCGGGAGGCTGAGGCAGGATAATTGCTTGAATCCAGGAGGCAGAGGTTGCAGTGAGCCGGGAATGAACCATTGCACTCCAGCCTGCCTGGGCAACAAGAGTGAGACTCCATCTCAAAAAAAAAACCCCCCAAAAAACAAACAAACAAACAAACAACAACAACAAAAAGATTAAGAAGAACTACATTAAAAGTGTATCCAGCAGAGTTGAAAAAATCACTTATAATTCTCTGACACAAAACAGTGAGTGATCCAAAGATATGATGGGTACAATTATATACCTTGTGATTTAGCATTCCATTTCCTTCTTTTTCCTTTTTATTTAAAATAAATAGAGGCTGGGCATGGTGGCTTATGCCTGTAAGCCTCCTCATCCCAAAACTGTGGGAGGCCAAGGCAGGCAGATCACCTGAGGTCAGGAGTTTGAGACCAGGCTGACCAACATGGTGAAATCCCATCTCTACTAAAATACAAAAAATTAGCTGGGCATGGTGGTGCACACCTGTAGTCCCAGCTGCCTGGGAGGCTGAGGCATGAGAATTGCTTGAATCTGGGAGGCAGAGGTTGCAGTTAGCTGAGATCATGCCACTGCACTCCAGCCTGGGTGACACAGCAAGACTCTTGTCTCAAAAAAAAAAAAAAAGAGATGGGGTGTCATTGTGTTGCCCAGGCTGGTCTGGAACTCCTGGGCTCCAGTGATCCTCCTACCTCAGCCTGCCAAAATGCTGGGATTACAGATGTGAGCCACCCACCCTGCTTGGCCTATCATCCCATTTCTAATGGTATATAATAGAGAAGTTCTCAACTGGGCAGCTGGACTTACTCACTTTTCTGTACCCTTCCTTCCTCCATTCGTTAAACTGTAAGATCAGTATAGGGAAGAATTAAAGTATTTTATAATCAGACATATAGAAGAAGGGACTTGATTATTTACTGACAACAACATTTATATCATAAACATTTTAAAACTAAATGGACACTGATACAGAAAAAGGAGAAAAGAGGCGTCAGGAGCAGGCGTGATCATGGCTCACTGGGCCTGTAATCCCAACGCTTTGGGAGGCCAAGGTGGGAGGATCATTTGAGCCCAGGAGTTTGAGATGAGTCTAGGCAAGATACTGAGACCTCATTTCTACAAAAAAATCAAAAAAGCTAGCTGGGTGTGGTGGCACACACCTATGGTCCCAGCTACCCAGGAGGCTGAGGTAGCAGGATGGCTTCAGCCCAGGAGGTTGAGGCTGCAGTGAGCCATGATCACGCCACTGCACTACAGCCTGGGTAAAAGAGCAAGACCCTGTTTCACACACACACACACACACACACACACACACACACACACACACGCACGCACATACACACAAGAAAGAAAAGAAAAAGAAAGAAACAAAAGAAGAAAGAGAAAAGAAGAAAAGAAAAAGGAGAAAAGAATAATCTTCAGAGAATAGCAGTTTCTAAACATCATCTCTGTGAAAGATATGGCTCTTCATGGCCTCACCTCCTTTCAGTGCTTCAGAAGCCATACCTTTCCCACCTGACAAAAATATACCAGTTGGGCCTCCAGAAATGTGCCTTCTCTAGAAGCTGGGAAAAGAATATTTTGAAACACTAGCCACCTTCCTCCAACTCCCCACCCCTGATATGGCCTTTACCTTCCACAGGGGAGGTTTTCAGTCTACTGCAGAGATTCTGTACACCTCCATAGTGGACGTTAATCTGGGTCAGAGCATCCCTCGAACGCAGCTCCATGAGCTTCCTCAGTTCCATTACTGTGCAGCCAAAGTCCCCTTCACGGCTCTCGGCCATCGAGTTGGCAGGCAAGACACGGTCTGATGGGTTCGTCATTTTGCCTGTTGTTACCAAGCCCCTCAACCAGAGAAGATGTAGTGTTTCCCTTCAACTGACCAGTGTCTCCTGCCTTCCTGTCTCAACTTCTTCCTACTTCTTGCTTCTCTGGGGGCCCAGTGAGGGAACAGATCGAATGTATCTTGTGCAATAAGCTCCCGAGTAGCTGTCCGAAGTCTAGATCCTTTCTTCTGTATGAAATCTGGCAGCGAGAGGAGGAAGAGGATGGGGGAACTGAGTGGAAGGTGGACTCCGTGTCACGTTGATTGGTGTCCCCAGGTGGTGATGATAGTGGTTGTCCAGGATAGGTAGGTTCCTAGCTTAGACCAACTTGCCCAGATGAAAGTGTAAACAGGATGTGCATGTTACCATGGCAGCAACCTTAGCAACAACCAGCAACTGTAGTGGTAGAGAGGCATCAGGAGGAGGAAGAGGAGAGCTTCCTGGATACTGATGACAACCGGATCTCTGCAATAAAGGTTCAAAGATAGACAAAAAGAAACCATTAGAGCAGCCATGAGTATCCAGAATCTGCAAGGGCAAGAGGTACCCAGTCTAAGCACAAGGGTTTAAGTGACAGTTGAGGTCTGAGCTAAACTGATAGCTGAGGCCTGAGCTTAGGGAGCTGACTCAGGAGAGGCCCGTTCCTCCCTGGGAGGCCCCCGCAGACTGCAAACCCCAACGTAGAGGAGTAATTTCAATATACCCTAGTCTTTATATCTCACCTCTCCCAACCAAGCAACATAAAACCCACAGCTTCAGAAACTTGGAAATAAATGGTTACAACCTCTAATGGCTCTAGTGTTTTCCCTGTCTATTTGAGGGACCTGTGACAGGATACTTTAGTCTGACATTATTTATAAAAGATGAGAAGAGGTCAGAAAAAGGAGTTCAGATCTAAGTCATCTGAATGGTTGCCTGTCAGTCGGCCTACCTCTCCCACACCCCACACTCTTCCCACTCCCAACACACACATTTACACACAAGGAAGACAACCTGATAGAAGATGTCAAAATCCTCCAAAGCCCCTTAGAGTACTCAGCTTCCAGGTGTATGGAAATTCTGTAGCCTGTTGCAGGTGTCAACCTGGCAGGCACCAAGTTTTGGTCTCGAGGCTAAGCTCCACCCTACTCCAAGAGGCTTTTGGGGAGAAGAGGAGAGTAAAATGCTTTGTCAGTTGGCGATATAGGGTGAACTTTTTTTTTTTTTTCTTTAGTAAGGGGGACAGAAGGACCTCTGAGGAGGAAAGATAGGGAGTTTGAAGCCTGAGCATTAAAGTTTCTCTGGAGTGGGAGCGATAAGACACCTCTCAATTCAGATAGAGGACAGGGCCACAGCAAGGTCAGCAGGGAAGACAAGCTAGCCTGTGAGTAAGCACCAGAGTCTCACTTATCTCAATAAAGGCACCAGAGAGAGGCCAGCATTTCTCCCCTTAGAAAGATGCATTACCTCTCATGCATGCTAACTAGGGGGTGTGGTGGACCTATGTGTAGGTGAGGATACAGAGGGCTGAAGGTGGGAAGAGAACTTATCCTGAGGCCCCTTCTCAGTTTTAAAGTGGGGCCGCTGTGTGTCATAACACTGACAGGTGTCACTGCCACACATCAGCCTTTCAAATGTGAAGGGGCTCTTAGCACAGCACCAGGACATGGGACCCCAGCCCCAGTTACATAGTCCCCACTGATGACTTCAGTTACCAGGGGGTGGCAAGGAGCTCTGGCCAACCTCTCTGTAATAAATAGATGCCACCCTTACTTCTAGAAGGTGAACAAAGAAGCACAAGAACTATCAGATAAGGCACTTGATTCTTTTATCAGTGATCTCCTCCAAAGTCACATGTAGCCAAAGTCTTTGCCAATTCCTGACAATCTTCTTCCCAGAAGCTTCCACAGGGATGCAGGTTGATTTATACTCCTCCCTCCCCCAATTTGCCCCTTGCCTCCTCTTCCTCCCATAGATTTTTAGCACTACTCTTGACTCACAAAGAGTTAAGAAAGCAGGGTTCTATTTGTTTTAAAATATCATAACCCCTTCTTATCTGGGAAATAAGAAGATCCACAAAGAACCTGAGGCAATGTGTCAAACTCCCTTCATTCAGACTGGTGTAGGAACAGGCAGGACCACAGAGTTTTCACCCCAGTTCAGCTTCTCCAAGCCTGGAAGAAATGGGAAGAGCTCTAGCAGCAAGAAACCCATCTTGACCCTCAAGTAGAACTCCTTCACCTTTCAAGAGGATGTTGGGAACAATGCTGATAGTGTTGAACTAGGAATCAGAGGATTTTACCTTTTCTGTCTTCACCCACTACAATGTTTGCTCCAGGAAGATAGGGATGTTACTTAGCCTTTTCAGGACTCGGTTCCTTCCACCTTTAGTTGGGTAGAGAATGGGCCCTGTCTTTTCACACCACCCTAAGAAAGTGATAAAGGAATGGAATTTTAGAAATAGTCCTTGGAAATCTTAGATGAAAGCTGTCCAGTGTGCAGAATAGGACACTTAAGTGATGGGAGAAAGCCTAATTTGATCTTAATGAACTTTTGTTATCAAGCCCTTTAAGTAGAAGAAAAATAAGCTCCATGTGCCCTTCCATCTTTCCTTGCTAGGGAACCCCCCACTGCACAAAAAGAATGGAATATTCTAGGGCAGCTTCATTAACAAAAACCATTAGCTAGGTTATAACCATTAGCAGTAACCACCAGCATATAGGTTCTTGAGTCTCCTGAGAATTAGAAAAGACAGTCTGAGTCAGAATTCCTTCCTTATTTTTTCTGAGAAAGAGTCTCACTCTGTCACCCAGGCTGGAATGCAGTGGCACGATCTTGGCTCACTGCAACTTCCACCTCCCAGGTTCAAGTGATTCTCCTGCCTCAGCTTCCTGAGTAACTGGGATTACAGGCACCCACCACCATGCCCAGCTCATTTTTTGTGCTTTTTTGTTTGTTTTTGAGATGGAGTCTCGCTCTGTTGCCAGGATGGAGTGCAGTGGCGTGATCTCAGCTCATTGCAACCTCCACCTCCTGGGTTCAAGTGATTCTCCTGCCTCAGCCTCCCAAGTAGCTGGGACTACAGTGGCATGCCACCATGCCCAGCTAATTTTTGTATTTTAGTAGAGATGGCGTTTCACCATGTTGGCCAGGATGGTCTCGATCTCTTGACCTTGTGATCCACCTGCCTCAGCCTCCTAAAGTGCTGGGATTACAGGGGTGAGCCACTGCGCCCAGCCAATTTTTTGTATTTTTAGTAGAGATGGGGATTCACTCTGTTGGCCAGGCGGGTCTGGAATTCCTGACCTCAAGTGATCTTCCTACCTCAGCCTCCCAAAGTGCTAGAATTACAGACATGAGCTACCACACCTGGCAGAATTACTTCCTTACTTTGAATCTCTTTTCAGAGTACCAAAGAGGAGAGATTCTTCCACTTCCACAGGCAACTGATGGAAAAGGTTATGTAAGATTAGAACACATGGGGCTGAAGAACACATGTGGAAAAGAATGAAAAGGTTTGTTTGCCTCAGGCTGATCTAGAGAAACACACAGTAGGTCAAGCACTAAGCTGCTGGCACAAAGTCCAAAGGGCAGTGCAGAGTTGGAGCCCGAGGTTTAAGGTGGGATCTCTATAATATTAGGAAGAATATCATGATGTCCGCACTTCTGAGTTTTGAGCTCTCTGGAGTATGAGCTCTCTGCAGCTGCTGAGCTTGCCTGGCCCCTAATCTGCCAAAGAATAATCTGAAGGTGCTCACACCATCTCAGCATCAAATGCGCTGCTCAGACACCTGGAAGGTACTACCTCTTGTCAGGTAAGGGTTAGTCATTCGGCTTGGGGCGTTCTGAGTAAGGTATGTGCTCCCTCCTCTTTTCTAGTATTTTGCAAGCCTAAGAGATGATAGGATAGAAGAGCGAACTCTCTCATCTCTTCCTCCTAGGGCAAGAAATTACAATGCTTTACATGATCATTAAGACAACATTTTACTTTTTTCCTCCTAAAGTCCTAGAACATCTGTTCTATAATTTGTAGATGACATGTGAAAGCATTGGTCATATCAATTCTAGCTAGGACAGCTGTGACCCTCACCTTACAAATGAAGATACAAAGGTCCAGGGAGATAAAAAAGTGGTTTGGTCTTAACAAGTCAGTGGTCTTGACTGCCTGGTGCTCTTTTTGTTACACTTTACTCCTTCTCTTGAGCCTAAACCTCCTCATTTTCTGGCAAACTTCTAAGAGGCCCTCTAAAAGGCAGGCATCTGCCAGGTGCTCCTGCCTGTAATCCCAGCACTTTGGAAGGCTGAGGCGGGAGAATCACTTGAACTCAGGAGTTCGAGACCAGCCTAGGTAACATGGTGAAACCCTGTCTCTACAAAAAATACAAAAAGTAGCTGGGCATGATGGTGCACGCCTGTGGTCTTAGCAAGTTGGGAGGCTGAGGTGGGAGGGTCATTTGAGCCCAGGAGGTGGAAGCTGCAGTGTGCAGTGAGCTGTATTCATATCACTTAATTTCAGCCTGGGCAAACCAAGTGGGACCCTGACTTCCAAAAAAAAAAAAAAAAAAAAAAAGCCTCTAGAAATGAGGAGCTGCCAGAGACAAGAACCTTATGCTCTAAGTCACCAAACTGTAAACACTAATCAGACACACTTTCCTCCAATTTTGTCCAAGGAATCTTTCACTCTTAGCTTTCCCAGGGTGCTAAAGAAGAAATACATCCCCAAACTATGAGGAAAAAGAATGACACCTCGTATAGGTTATAGAGTGGGTATATTTGAAAATATGAAAGGAACTCACCCCGAGTCTCCCCGCTACTAAATGCTCCTATCGAATGTGATATGATGCATAAAAATGGGAGAAAAGAAACAGGAGGGGCCAGGGGCTAGGGCTTCAGGCTGCTGCAGCACTGCAGATAGACCTGCCTGGAATAACAAGAGGCTCTAGTCCACTCTGGCCTCTGGGCTACAGGCTGGGTCTGTTCAGAGGAGCAGACACTTCCCTGCCCTGCCCTACTCTGTCCTCCCCAGTGGGCTGAGAGCCTCTGCTCAGGAGCAAGCTGGTAGCACTTGGAGACACTCTGGCAGGGGTGACAGCATCCCTGCCAGGCATGACTTGAGGGGTGAGGAAGGGCAGACCTCTGGAGAGGGGAAGCAGCCTGGTCCCACTTTAGAATGCACCCAACTACAATATAAAACCTGCTTCAGGGCCGGGCACGGTGGCTCATGCCTATAATCTCAACACTTCGGCAGGCTGAGGCAGTTGGATCAACTGAGATCAGGAGTTTGAGACTAGCCTGGCCAACAAGGCGAAACTCTGTCTCTACTAAAAACAGAAAAAATCAGCTGGGCGTGGTGGTGAACACCTATAATCCCAACTACTGGGATTCCCAACTATTGGGAGGCTGAGACAGGAGAATTGCTTGAACCTGGGAGGCGGAGGTTACAGTGAGCCGAGATTGTGCCACTGCATTCCAGCCTGGGCGACAGC